AAATACAAAAATAATGAAATATTATAGGGACATTTTAATAACATAAATAAATAGAAAATTATATGAAATCCATGAACGAATATTATCCCCATTACTAGTAACACTGTAGAGTCTATGGTGTAATAAGGTTACCATCTACATCATAACATAAATTAATATTCTTTGATTACATACTTCTCGCTTATTGCAAAAATTCTCATTGAACTTTTCAACGTTCAAAATAAGTTCTCATTAAAACTTCATTCACACATAGTCCATGCAATTTTATCTCAGCGTTTTCAAATTAACTAAAAAACTAACATACATTCTTTACAAGTTTGAATGCTTTTGCTGATTTCTCTTTAAATATTCACTTAAAGATTCGTTCTCTTGATATAACACAACTGGTGACACGTTATTAATACTTTTATTACTTTCTGGAGTACAGGTATTGCACTTTTTAAATGAGACCTTGGGAAGCCATTTCACTAGTTCCAAAAAAATCATTAGTCACTCGATTCCAACTCGCTTGTCATTATACGACTTTCTCGCTTACAGAAATAAATTTTACAAACCACTGACAAATCTCGTAGACACAAAACTTAAATTGTTACTCATAAATCTTTAAACATTGCTATTACTTAGGGTATACATTCGCGAATCAGCAAAAACATTGTAGAGAACTAAATACAGTGAAACCTAAGTGACCACATAATCAAGATTATGAAGTTTCGAGGTGCATAAATGAAATCTAATTGTGCTAGTTGCTATTAAATAAAGCATGCTGTCTTTATTATTTTTAATTACCATAAATGACACTATGGAATTTAAACAAATAATTTAGAATTGTCTACATCCTCTCGGCTTATACCAAAACACAACCTAGAATTGTTCCTCATCCTCTCAATTGAGATACTCTCTTTCCGTCCTCGACCATACATACAAGCAATTCACATCCTACAGAAACTAAACTATGCAGTGGAGTCGTCTCTGGAGGAACTTGCCAAAAGTAATTAGATCGGATTCGCTACGCGGCATGCTCCGCGAGTCCTTCAAAGACTTCCATAATTAGTGGTGCTATACCAGCTCCCACTACCTGGCATTATTTTTAAATTCGGAAAATCAGGTAGTTTCAAGAAAATTAGACCTGCGCCATTGTTTTAAGCGTCCCTTGTTCTATGTGTGCAAAAGAAACTCAGGGCGGTTTTTGAGAAAAAAAACCTTTTTATAATTTGCATTAACTTCAAGCCATCGTTAAAAAAAGTACCATACGAAAGGTTTTGTTTCAGATAAAAATCTCTAAATACAACATTTCAGTTTTCGAATGCCAACTTTTTACAATTTTCAAAATTACAGAGTTCGCCAGAAATAGGACTAGCACCACTTTTTTACCGCCCTTGAAGCATAAAACGATATTTTTTTTAAAATTTAGCAATTTTTATGACAAATATCGTTAATATCTTATCTGTATATCACGCAAAATTACGCGAAAACTATTCATATTTTGGAAAAATTGTATTTGACCTAATCGGAAGACTTTTATCAAAGAATAGATTTAATTAAGGAGAATATCTCTTCCTTAAATATTGTTCTATGTAGTCGCCGAAAAGATGGAACTCATGCAATTTTCGAAAACTCAGGAATTAAACAAAAATGAGACTTTCTGTCATTCTTTTAACCGTCTTTTACGCTATCCGAAAGTTCAATCCAAAAATTTGGGGCTTTTCTTTATAAAATTTTGAAAGCATTCAGAAATCATGTAAAGTACAAATGCACTGAAAAATCAAAATAACCGTTTCAAAAGCAGGGCGTCTCGATTTTCTTTAAATTTACCGAGAACTGTCAATTTGGGGGAAAATCGTCTGAACGGTTTTGGCAATAGCGTTGACTACAGACAGTTCAACAGATGGTCAGAGAGACAGACGATGATTTGTCTATCAATTTTTCGGTGTCAAGGACCCACAAAACATGGATTATGACTATACAACTTATTACAGAAGTAATTTACTATATGAAGGGACAAGATTTAATCACTTTTACGTTTCAGTTTCCGGCAATCATAGTTTTTCTGTCGAAAATTAACCTTTTTCCGGTGCATGATTACAATACATTTCTTCTAACAAAGAAACGAAGAGTATAAAACATATGCGCGAGTTTACAAACCATAGTAATGTTGCGAAATGGGCGAAGCAAACGGATTGTTGTTTTATTAAGAGATATGTTAAAATTATTCGTTGCTACCTGAAACAGGAAGTAATTCCTCGTAATAGAAAGTAATGTCATTATTCTAAGTAATCAGACAACGCGTTCAATCGTTGTAAGATATAAAAAATAAACTTCAATAGTTCTCCGCTTCTTGCTATAAAGCTACAGTTCTAAATCGCTTGAGGTGACCGAAACATAAATGTGCCCGTCTACTGGCCGCTGAATAAGGGTCTATTTACAAGCATCCTATATACTGGTGTTAGTGAAAATTGTAACACCCAGAAGGAATGGTCGGAATCGCTTCAAAATCTGTGGATATGTAGAACTGAATATTCGTAAGAAGTTATTAAATTAGCATAGAGATGACGTGCAGGCGGGCCTAGCAGAGCCCTCCTTTGTGTGACAGGCCAGGTCTGCGTTACGCCACACTCAGTCGGTGTAGAGCTGTCAAACGACGTGAAAACGTGCAAGCAAGTGCCAGTATGCTTCGTCGCCGCCAAAGGACGCAATATCCTCATGTGCGCGAGTTCAAAAATAGGCAGAATGATCGGTCTCCGGGAAGCGGATCTGTCGCAGTGTCATTGCGGTTCGAATGTGGCGGGCTCCTGCAACAGTGATGCGTGTGTGGCACCAGTGGATAGAGGAGGGTCGTACACATTGATGAGCGGGTACTGGACCACACAATGTGACCACAGCGCGGGATCACAGTCATCTTCTCCGCATGGCTGTAACCGACAGAATGGTGTCGTTCACAGTGTTGGCTCGACTTTGAAGCACTGCAACAGGTGTGGTCATGTCGGAGTTGACCGTTCGATGTCTCCGCTGAGGGCTGGTCTGGTGGCACGCATACCATTGTGTCGGATTCCGTTGACCATAAACCACCAACGCCTCAGACAACAATGGGCACACGAATGGTGAGTTCAGTGCTGAGCTGTGGAAAAATGTAGTGTTTTCGGACGAGTCCCACTTCATTTTGTGCTACAGCGAGGGCCTCGGACTTGTTCAACGCTACAATGAGGATCGGAATCTAGCCTGCATTGTTCTACGCCATAGCAGACAAACTCTAAGTGTGATCGTTTGGGTCGCCATTGGCGATAATGTGCGATCTCGCCTCACACGTATTAAGGGCAATCTGAACAACAACAGCCATATCACGAAGGTTTTAGAGTCAGAGTTAGTGCACCTCCTGCAAGCAGCTCCACATGCCATATTTTAGAAGGATAATGCCCTAACGCTGGTGCGAAGAATGTGCAAGCTTCCGGCGAAATACGGCGGATACCACTGCTTCCCTAGACTGCACGTTCGCCTGACATGTTGCCCATCGGACACGTCTGGAATGTGATCGGTGGGCAAGTTGTTCTTTCTGGTCCTCCTGCAGCCACTGTCAATACTTTGTGGTACCATAGAAATCGCGTGGCAGTATGTTGCCCAGTAGCATATCCAGGCTTTCTTTGAATCCATGCCACTACGTTTAGAGGCTCTGATGGCAGCGCGTGGTGGCTAAACACCGTACTAAATACTCAAGGTCAAAATGCATCAATAAATCTGTGACCAGTTTTCCATACTTCCTTGTTAGATACAGACAATAACCGATCATACCAATTAACATTAGCTAAATTAACATTAGCTGCAAACGCGGCTTTCCCGTACTTTCTTCTCCTTTACTGATGGCAAATTTGATTCCAAATTTAACATATTCACTATTTTATCTTCATTCACAATATCTACATTACGCAATAACGCTAGTCAATACATATTTACAAGTTACAGATGAAGTTAACATTTTCTTTTATTTGGAGGTTTGTACACAGAAACTACATTATTAAATGATGTTTTGGAGATATATTAAATAAATTTATTCATACTGTAATTGAGAGTAGGCCGGTGACATCTAATAAAAACAACATTGAAAAAAAAGAGTTGTAGTTAACATTGAAAATACTATATTATAATACATTATATTATATTCGACCTTCCTTCCCCAATTTTAATAAATATTTTAATATTCCTTACATTATACAGCGCGTGGCATTCTATTATAATCTCCTGTAGTGTGAACTCATTGCCTGTTTTCTTGAAAGTATTTGTTACAACAGTATTCAGTAATTGTACCGCCTTTTCTTATGTATGCTTCGTATTTTGGAGGATATCTTGTATGCGTGTCCATAATTAAATCTTATTTCAAAGTACCACTTATAACACCAGGAGTTCGTTGGAGAGATTCCAAGCTCTCTATTCTCACTTCTGCTCGTTGAGGTAATTCCAGATGTGAGCGCTCAACTTGAGGTAGTGGTCTGCATTTAATACTGCTCGTACAGGATGCTTCTCTCAAGAGGTGTTGGGCTTGAGTTCAGAGAAGCGAGCCGGTAATGGTCCTTAATAATTGTTGTTAGTACAACTATATCGACAGGGGGGAAGGTCATGAAATCAACCTAATAGCCTGTCATATTTGTAAAGGTGATGGGAAGAACACGTTAACACAGGTGTTATTAAAATTGAGTTAACTGGTTCCAACAACTTTTCAGTACGAAACCTGCCAACGACGGATTAGCAATACTCAATTTTAGTACGAACTGGTCGAAACATCTTTATCCACATTTATCCGCTAGCAGTATAAAAGTTTAGAATTATTTTTCTGAAATGTTCTTGCCATTACCTCTTCATTACATCACTATAATGATCCTCTAGTTTGTCCAGCTCCAAAACGTTAAGGTGAGTTTTCCCGAAGAGCCTGGCCTAGCAGCTTCGTACAGCAGCTAAGGAGTCTTGCGGAAGGGTGTTTGGACCATGTGATCATTACGGGACGCTTATCATACCTTAGGACTCGCATCAGATCCAGATAGTATCTCATCTTTCACACCTTCATGACCACTTCTGCCATTTTCAGTTCAGTAGAAGGTACTAAGCACCCTGGTCATTGCTAAGAAACTGGACGGGTTTATCATTTTAAGAATCTCCCCTCGCCTATGCCCATACACCGCCAGTGGCATACGTAAGAAGAGATTTTACTAGTTTAATAAAAAATATATCGATTTGCAGCAAATACTATTTTGCTAAAATATTTGGTTCATCAACACAGCTACTTTTCAGAGACTTCTTCCGACTACCTTCGCGGGATGGTGCCTTGTATTACCACTGCCTTATGAAACCAAGGACTATGCTAGCGGTATATTCGCTACTGCAGGCGCGAATCCACGGGGAGGGAAATATCTCCTAAAATTATTCAATAACTATTAATTTTGACTCGTCACGAGAATTTCAAGCAAACATAATTTTCGGGTTATCATTAAAACGAATAAAATCGTATCGCAGCATGCGCTGAGTGTAGCCTGCGACAGTTTACAAAATCCGTAATATTACATATTCGATGACATTTTGAATTTCCCTTCCCAAAATTCGTCTCTGTATCCACCCCTGGCTACTGGTAGGATTCTTCAAGCCGGAACGGTCATGGGTCCACGAGCCGGATTCCCCCTTCCAGGCATATTCTTTATCTTTACTTGTTCCGTAATTAATTCATCCTCTCTCTTACTTGGGGCAAGGAATGGCAGGGGTCTGCAGGCGAAAGGGAAGCCAGGGTGTCTAGGGGACGGTAATTCCGAAGAAAAATCATAGGTCCTCACGATTGAGTGTTAATGCGAAGGCCATCTCGTCTATCCCCCTGAAAATTCCCGGACTGCTGAATATCTCAGGAATAATACAAACGATAATGCACATTCATTAACCAGGAACCGTCAAGACAAACCTAATCTTTTAATGGAACATGAAACGCACAGCATCTTTATTAGAAACGAATAGACGTCTTCCAACACTAAGAAAATTCCATGTGGAAATTGCTATATTGACAAAACGGAAATAAAGTTACAGAATAGAAAACGATAAAGAGCATATACTTAGTGAAGTAAGCAAAAAAAAAGAAACTAGACGAAAGAGGAGTTTCCTTCGTATCATATTTTCTCTTTTCTTCTTTTTTGTCAGACAATTTAAAAGTTTTAGACGGGATATATTTGCATTTTGACATTTTAATTGAAGGTTAGGAGAGGAAACCGTGAATAATTGTGAATGCTAATAGAGATATTGGTTTAAAATGTTTTAATAGTTTCTTCAAACGTAAAAAAAATTCACAAATTCACGTATACTAGAGGAACACGTAGAACAAAATGTTATATATCTCGGCAAACATATCAACTAAACATAGATGAAAGGCGTTAGCCTTTTAAAGCGATACTGAGAGCAATTCAGATCAGAACTTCCTACGATAATATTTATGGTTGTTACAAACAACAAAATGAACCATTTTTCCCCGCCTGTCTTCCTGTCATCTGTTATAATTTTATTTCTCCGCTTTAGATATTTCCTGCCTTTATCCGATATAATTCTCTACAAATCTCTGTGTCGCATTTTCGTTTTCTCTGTTCGATTGGACAGTAATTTGTAAAACTATCTAGCATTAAAATTAAAATTATAGAAAAAATAGGAAATCCATTTCGAGGATAAATATTAAAAAATACGAAACAGATAAATATGTATTAATAGAAGCTAAATTTAAAACGCTAAATTTATTAAGCGTTGCCTTTCACGTCGTAATGTATACATCTTGAAGCCATTATTGAGATCGAATGAGTTACCATCTTTAATAGTTTTCACGGTTTCATCTTTCACGACCTCTTTCATTCTACACGTCTCTTTTTCTGTAATTTTCCGAATCACATTCTTCGATACGACCCCATTACATAACTGTTCTGGTTTTATACTGAAATCTGTTCGAGTGTACTTCAAGATTTTATTTCTTCTTCTCCATTTCTTGACGCCTCTTAGAGTGAGGATCGCGTCATTGCTGCCAACCGCTTTGGTCGCTGACGACGCCATCCCGCAGACCGCTCGTACGACCTGACTCGACCTAACCCACAAACCTCGCCACTACCCCTCCCCTCCCTTCCCTTCCCTTCCCTTCCATCCCTGCCCTTGCCACAATCTGTCCCAAGGCCTTCCCCAGCCCCTACGCTGGCCTTGGATACCGCCACGCCGTCCCCAAGCTCGCTCCGCACCGCGCCTCGCCTCGCCTCGTCGCTCTCTGCGCGCGCTCACCGGAACTCGACGAAGCCGCGGTGCAGCAGCAGGGCCATGAAGTCGCCCGCCATGTCGTCGCGCTCGCCCGTCAGGAAGAGGATGCCATCCCAGGCCTCCGGCCGGAACTCCAGCTCCAGCTGCACGTGCTTGTAGGCGGAGCGCAGCGCCGGGAACGCCAGCCAGCCCTGGCCCGAGAAACGCGGCGATCGCACCTCTACCTCTGCAACAAGAGACACATGACGACGCCGTTAGCAAATTGGCCAACCTCTGTCACTTGAATGCTTCATTTCAGGAACAACGTAAGTCGGTTTGGGGCTACTTTGACTTTTGAATGCGCTAATATTATTACGTTTAAGCATCGTTTGAGGCTGATCTAGAGTAAGTCATGCATTTTATACTGTTTGGAAAAAACTAATGTTAGGGACATGTAGACGTATTAGGAGGATTTTCTACCAACTGAAAATTTATTGACAACTGACTTACGTTGTTTCTGCCATTCACTTGCTGATGATTCACAATGAAACTTAGATGTAACATATACGCAAAACCCTGTTGCTACGTTATTGAATGGAACTAATCACATCGGTGAACATTCGTAGATATAATCCATAAAAATGAAAGTTCGAACGCTGCAAGTTTTCACGTTCATATTGAAGAGATCTGAGAACAACACACAATTGTGTACTGCGGCAAGATACAAAGAACTTCTAACGTTTTCCTTAAGTAGGAAACTCATTCAGTTTGTAAGATAATATTTTGGCATTTATTGTAATTACTCGTAAATCTGCCCAAAGAATAATACGTATTCATGGTAAATAAAGTAATTATCATCCAAGAATGCTCGCGTTCATTTCACTTCAGTCATTCGATTGTATATCAAATTTCTACCTACTATTTATTGCTTCGATATTGATGAGTGCCTGTGTTCACGTTCACCTTCACGGTCTTCGAGAATGTTCGTTCATGTTCATGTTAAAAGTAGTACATATTTATGTCCTCACGTCTACTACGTAAATGTTTTCTTTGAGAATGGCTCTTTACAGCTACAGATCTCCGAGTTCCAGTTTTTTGTTTCACAAACTGTTAAAGCGTCCGGAAATAAAATACGCCAAAAATGGAGAATGTGATTTATCTATAAAGTGCAAATATTTAAGTAGCAATTACGAGGTCGAGGTCAAAACAAATTAAGTTAAGATGTATCAGTATTTGGGCATAAAATGAGCTGTAAATTTAGTGAAGGATGAACCCAAGTTGTTTGTATGTTAATCATAGAATCCGAAAGACGAAACCGCTTTGTTGAGGTGGAAATACATGAAATATTTTCTGACAAGGTAATTTAACTCAAATATTGCAACACGTACCTAGTTTTGAGTCACTTCCTACTTTACATCACATTTTGCAGGTGTTCCATCTATCCATATTTTGCTCTTTTTAGAACAGGAACCCACTTCATAGATTGTCATATGCAGATGCAGATTCAGAGACGAATTTTGGGAAAGAAAAATTCAAAATATTTTGGTAGAAGGTGTCATATTACAGATTTTGTAAAATGTCGTAGGCTATATGAGCTCATGCTACAATGCAATTTTACTCGTTTTAATGATTATCTTAACTTGAAACTTTCGTGATAAGTTAAAATTAATAGTTACTGAAAATTTTAGAGGGGGATTTCCCTACCCGTGGATCCGTGTCTGCCACATGGAAGATTTTGTGGAAGTATGTTTTGAGGTAAGGATGTCCATTGTCTTCTCTCTGTCTAGGAGAGAAAATATGATGTGCCTCAACACAATATATAAAGATATCATAATTAAGATTTGGTTTTTAAATAGAAAAATGTTTGCGTAGTAATTAAGTTCATTTATTATTCAAAATAAGTGTTTGCCATATCAATAAAGAGATGGAAAATTATCATGTTTCCTTGTAACCTAGTTTCCAATAAAAATACAGTGCAAGAAAAAAGAAAATTACGTGTAGGATTTGTCAGCCGTTTACATTAATAAGAATTATTATTATTATTAGTTATTATTATTGTTGTTATTATTATTGTTATTATTATTATTGTTATTATTATGGGAAATAAACTGACATGAATTTATTTCTAAATATATTTAAAAAAAGAAATTTTATTTAAAGGAACTATTTCCTACTTTTTTTTGGAAAAAGCCTTGAACCAACGTTTTCGCTATTTAATAGCGAACCGGAGGGAGAGAGAAAATACAGGTGGAGAAAAGGAGTGAGAAGGAGGAAGAGTTTTCAAAAGACCGACGCCTACTTTCTTAGGGTGTTCTGTATCCGTAAGAAACGGTACGGCGTTTTTAGGGGCATTGCGTCTACTGGTTCTGTACGGGATAAAAGATACGGTAAGAAAACGTCAACCCTACTTACAATACCTGTTAAGAAGTTTGACTCCTTAACTTGAATTGTGCGAGGCGGACAGAGTAAAAAATAAAAGTGTTGTAAAAAATAACTAGTGCTGCTGTAAGGTAATTTCTCGTATTATCAAATATTACATGATATTTTAATAATGTGATACTTCAGCCATACTACATCTTGGGCACAAATTAAATCGCCAGTCGTTCAAATACAAATGTATCTTTACATTTATCAAAATTTTGAATATAAATGAAACTTTGCCATTGAATTTGCCATATTATATTGCATCCAAACAAACGATATTCCGCCGAACTTAAATTAGAAAGGCTCAGTTTTATATAGTAAGAATATTATCCCCGTACTATGCTGTTCGTTTGTGTTCCCGCTGATAAAATGAAGAATTTACGATCTGCTGATCCTAACACCGAATAAATGGCCAATAAATGTCAGATAGATTGTGAAAGGCTTTGCAACCTGCTTACCTCAAGTCCCTCGATGCCCTAGCTGTCAAGCTGGGGTGCCATGCCAGATTCTAGCCTCAAGAGGCTGTAATCTCCGAGTACACTTAATCTTGATGAAATATTGTCAAAATATGTCAAAATTAAAAAAAAATATCAAATTTGTGTTCGAGTTTATTTAAAAGTATAATTTTGAAGATCATGTTTAATTAAGAAAAAGCTCTATCTTCACTTATGTAGTAAGGGATGGGTCGAAAAAATTCAACTCATGACATTTTCTACAACTGAGAACTTAAACTTATAATCGGGTCCGCGTTATTTTTTGTATGCGTACTTTAGCCTATTCGTTCGAATAAAATAAATTAAAAAATTGTAGCGATATGCAAGTGTAATTTTAAAACGTCCTATGAGGTTCTATTTTGAAGAAAATTCCAGCAAATTGGCTTCGTTATTATGTTATAAGGGGCTCTTGCTCGTAGTAAAATGCCTTATTCTCCAGAGTTATGCAGCAATTCAGTTTTTGCGTACATATTATATTCATATTTATTCACATACGAAAAAACATGGAACAATTTAAACATTTAATGCTGAAGAAAAGATTGCATTTGGAAAGAAATCACTGGCGTCATTACTGAAGGTATACTGGAGGTTCAGAAAAAAGTGGAACATTTGCTATTGTATAACTTCCAGAGGCTTTAATTCAAATCTGACTTATGTCAAATTATGAGGACAACTCTATCCGAATAACAAACCGACAGAAAAGACGAGTCATTTTCGAGAAAATCTTCAAAATATCCTATAGGATTTATGAAAAGAATCCCCGAAAATTAAAATATCCGATTCAAAAACGAGGGACCACGACATCAGCCAGATCGATAGAGGAATAACACTTCTGATGAAAAAAACTGTGGACGGTTTAGGCTCTGGTGCCGTTCACAGTTGGATGGGTGGACAAGAAGGACGCAGACGGACCGACAGGCAAATGTTTTGAGAAACGTTTTCTGTTTCGAAGCCACACAAAATGTGAGTTTGGACTCCACCGAGTATAAAAAAAATTAATTTATGACTTTTTTCGGGTCAAAGGAAAGACACATGTAATTTTCTTGTCGTCGGAACCCACGAAACTTGTTTATCTGCCAAAAAATTGGCACCTTTTCTTGCATCATTGCCTTTTTTTACTTTCTCGCCCTTACGAAGGTACTTCGTACGAAGAGAAAGCTATGTAATCGTGCCAGTCCGCCCGCGTGCCAGTCCGCCCGCGTGCCAGTCCGCCCGCGTGCCAGTCCGCCCGCGTGCCAGTCCGTCTGCTTGTCAGACTGTAGTCAACGCTAGCACCCAAACCGTTCTTCCGATTTCTCCAAAATTGAAATTCCCGATCGATCAGAAAGAATTCCAGGCTTTGGGAGTATCAATGTTAATATTGATATTTGACTGTACTTTACATGAAGCTTCAAAAACATGTTTAAAAGTTTCTCAAAAAATTTGTAAATGCTTTGATTGAACTTTGTCCTCTGATAGCGTAAAGGACGCTTAAGAGAATGATAGAGGTCTCTTCGTTGAAATCCCATTTATTTTAAAAATTGCAATATTACAATTTTTGGGCGCCTTCCAACATTGATAATATTGTCAATTAAAATTTTCGCCAAGTGTATTTTTAAAGCAGTTTTCGTTTGAAGGTTATGCAATTTCAAAAAAAGGTATTTTCTCAAAAACCGCTTGAAATTTTTGCTTTAAATTTTCCCACAGATAGAAGAGAGAACGCTTAATAATGGCGGGGATCTCATTTGTGTTGAATTTTTTGAATTTTTGAAGCAAATGTGGAAATAATGTGAGTAAGTATTGCTGTTGTAGCACTAGTTTTATTTTTCCACAAAGTACTCAAGAGTGTGAAAATCGGTCGTCCGTACCTTACAAACCTAGTTCGCGCTAGATTTTATATGTTAATATTCTTGGCACGTGTATTTCTGAATAAAAGCAAGAGACTGACTGATACTACAGATCAGAGGAAGGACAAGTGTGCGTGTGAAGGAGCATACTAAATATAAGTTGGTGGGTGTAGGTACGCGTGCGCGAAGCATTATAGCTGGGTATTTGTGGGTAACTGCGGGCTTGCGTGAACGTGCTATTTGCCTTGTGAGTTCCGGTTAGTTACGCAAGGGCATAGATAACTTGGCCATCCGAAGAATTCGACAACAATAACAAAGAGAGTCCTTTGTGTATGTGTCCCATAGTAGGTGTTACGATAAAGACAATAATTGCGAATGCACATTAGATGGCACTCTGCTAATTCCTCTTACGGTCTTTAAAAAATGAACGTATGCTCTCCATATTGAAATTTTTGTAATTTGAAATTCCTCTCACATCGAGTTATTCGTCAAAGGTTGGTA